GAGGTTGTCATAACTATAAAGGGAAGGGTAACAGCTGTCCTGTGTACAGTACTATAAAATCCCTCCTGGCCAGAGACTCCAAAATCCTTTTCCCTGTAAAGGGTTAAGAAGCTCAGGTAACCTGGCTGGCATCTGACCTAAAGGACCAATAAGGGGACAAGATACTTTCAAATCTTTAAAAAAAAAAAAAGAAAAACTAACACGCCTTGCCTGGCTATTTACTTACAAGTTTAAAATAGGAGAAACTTGCTTAAAAAAATGTGGAGAACCTGAATTAATGTCTGGTCCCTCTCAGTCCCGAGGGCGAACACCCACACAAACAAAGAACACAAACAAAAGCCTTCCCCTGCCAAAGATTTGAAAGTATCTTGTCCCCTTATTGGTCCTTTAGGTCAGATGCCAGCCAGGTTACCTGAGCTTCTTAACCCTTTACAGGGAAAAGGATTTTGGAGTCTCTGGCCAGGAGGGATTTTATAGTACTGTACACAGGACAGCTGTTACCCTTCCCTTTATAGTTATGACAACCTCCTAGGGGGGAATCTAGCACTCCGTTTTAACCCGACTTGTTTGGATTAAAAAAAAATACATAAACTTGCAGATGTGACAGCCTTATAATAACTGACAGACATGCTACTCCTTGAATGTGGAGCATGACATGATCTGAGAATGTGCAGGTGGATGCTGTGTGGGTTTCCCTGCATAGTTCTACTGATAAACTGCATTCTGGCCTTGAAATATCCGTGCTGTTACAACTCTTGGCTTCTCTAGTTTAACTACTAATTTTACCAAACTATCATACAATTTTGTAAATTAGACAAAAGTTTACGAGAACTAAATCACCAGAGTGTTTTGACTTGTATAAGTCAGCATTTGAACTCTGGCTTCTGTAGGTAAAAGGCATTAAACTCATTGCCTCAGCTGAAACTGACTCTGCACTTTTGCTCCTCGTACAATGTCAATAAGTCCTGAATAGATGTAATAGAACTTTGTATTGCAATAAAAATTAACTGCATATTTTTTTCTACCAGCCACGTTTCTCAATTAGTTAATTATATGCCTTTAGGAAACTAGATTGCTTTGAACATCCTTAAAGAACTGCAGTATGAATCTGAGTATACATAGGCAAAACCCTTCTTTGAGATTTGTTTTCTTTATAATTTCTGTAGCACCAGTCGCAGAAGTACCCCAGCAAAGCAGTGATACAAATCAATTCACAGGACGGAGACTGAACTCTAAAATGCAGGTTTACTCTGGCTCTAAAACAGTCTATCTTTCAAAGATGCTAACCCTGTATGAACAGTGCATCCGCATACTTCAAAATAACATTGATTGTAAGTACTTTAATATGGGTTTCAGCAGGTGGAGTGGCATTATAGTGCTAGGCTTTCAATAGTGTAAGACTATCTTTTTTTGTGATTGAAGAATTAAGTTTCTTAGTAAGTCCCAACTTTACATTAAACTATGATGCCATGACAATAGAAACATCATGAAACAAAAGCCAAAAAGCCCTCTTGCTTTTTTCTGTCTAGATGCTGTTAGTCTCATGTTTAATCTGAGATAAAACTGTATTTGGTATAAAATAGGGATGAACTGTCAAGAAAACAATTAGTATGTACATTCACCCCTTGCATTTAACTTGCATGTGAATATTCCAAACTTTGGTGCGTGTCTAGGGGAGAAAATTTGGCACGGGGGGAGGAGAGAGAATGGGTAGAGATGGTGAAATGGGTAGACAAGGATGCCTATATTTCCTCAAATTACCACTTTAATAGTCAGAACAGAACAGCTCATGTACAAACAGCTTAGGTTGTCCAGACCTCAGAATACATGTTCCGTTGGTATATATTAAAATAATCCTATATCTTTTGTTGGGTATCTATTTTTAAAACTGTTTTGTAAGTGGTGAATCTTATTGTGTACATATGGGTGGGATACTTAAAATACTGTCTTGCTTTGTAGCACTACATGAAGTAGGAGGAGTGCCCTTTGAAATTCTTGAGCCTGTGCTAACACGTTGTACACCAGAGCAGTTGTTTCGAATAGAGGAGTGCAATCCGGTAAAGTCTTTCTTGTTCAATACCTTAGAACCTATTTCATAATTGCTTGTGCTCAAAATCAAAATAACTTTTAGTAAAACAAACTACAAAGTAAAAATTGTGAAGGTATCACTCTCCCCCACACCAGCCAAATGGCTGGTTCATAAACTGATCAGACCCTCTATATAGTAAGACTTTGTCTACAATTGTTAGGAGTTATACTCTGAAAATAATATTTATTAGCATCTAGAAGTGTGGTACATGCTTTACAGAATGTATGCTTGGACAGGTCCCTGCCTCAAAACCTTTGTAGTCCAAATTGACAACACACAAAGGGCTGGAAGAAGGGATGAATATTTAAAAACAAAACAAAAAAACTTAATAGTCACCCTCACTCTCTTCTGTCCTGTCTTTTGCCTTGACCTTTACTTACATTTTAATTCTAATATGTATAGCGTTCTATTAACTTCAATTTTATCCCTCATCACTTTGTCCTTGCCTGCAATATTCTACTTTTTTCCCAGTGAAGTTAGCCCCTTACCTATTCAACTCTTTCTTCATCGCTCTGTGGAGCAGATCATAGCCTCAAACTGTTTTACTCCCACCGGACAAATGTCTCCCTCAACACCTAGGAAAAGTAAAAAGGGCATTGGCAGTGTTAACATGAAAGTGCTCAAAATAAAATTTCAGGTGAAACTTGGTACCTGTTGAGGTCCAGGGGACAAGAATTGGCTTAGCTTGAAGTTTAATTAAATGAACGACGCCACTTGTTTCTGGACTAGTTTAATATAGTTTTTATTACATTTTCCTTTTCCCAGCTTCTGCTTTAACGCCTGGTTGAAGGCAGGGGCTAGGGTCTGTTTATACTACTATGTCAGACTGAGCAGAAGGGGATCTGACAGACTAGGACACTGCACTAGATAACTGCCTCTTCCCACACAGCTCCACATCGCTACAGAGACCGCTCTGGGAGCGGAGAGGAGGGGGAACTAGACTCCTACACTGACCTGTCTGGGGTGAGTTGAGGAGATTATTATCTGGAGAACCCATTGGTAGTAAAAGGGGATATGAGGATGTAAGCAGCCTGCTTTTATTACTCTTAGCTTGGAACCAGGCAGGGAATAAAGGTTTTACCTGGCTTCCTTATAGCTGTTAAAAGAGAATCTATACAGTCTACCCTAATCACCCATCACTGTGATTTCTTAGTTCTACTGTCATTGTCATGCCTCCTGGCTTCTTCACTGTATGTCAGGCTCTGAAGCACCAAGGTTGTTACTAGGGGTGAATCGGGGAAGCCAGCATAGGACACACATTTACTTTTGTCCCTAAAATAAAAAAGGAAGGAGACAGAACAGATTTCAGATACTATCATGTGTTCCAGCTATTTCAATCTATGTATTCCCAAGAGAAAAATGGTAAGGTTGCAGAATGAAGCACACATCAGGAAATATCAAAGGTAAATTTGCTGCAATAACCTCAACTCTGTCCTCTTATACATATGTGTATGGTGAAAGAGCTTCAATTACATATTTCTGAACTGGATTTCTGGATACTTAGTACTCTTGGAAAATCAGGCCACTCTTCTTTAGATGCTGGCTTTAGGCAATCAAGTTTGAAAATTTTGGCTAATAACCATCTTTGTCTACAATATAATGAAACAACCTTTAATCTAATCTTTGACCAATGGATACATTAGATGTTGCTGAATATGGCTTATTATGCTTTCTGAATGTTATGGCACATGGTGAGAAGAGATGTTTACTAGAGTTTCTTTGGCTTGCTCCTCAGTCTTGAAGCAATGTAAATGGAGGATAACATTTTCAAAAGTGCCTATGTGATTTGGGATCCTAAAATCTCTTTGAACATGTATAGGAGTTAAGTGCCTAAGTCCCATAGGTACTCTTGAAAATGTTACTACAAGTCTTTAAGCGTTGTTAATTACCTTTTTGCTTCAAACCAAGACATTTATAGAAGAGTCTGATCATTTGTGGAAGAAACACTGCCAAAGGGATTTTAAAAACGACCATCTCCTGGAATATGAATCGTGGCGTGAAATGTATGTGCGGCTCTTCAGTCAGAGAGAAGAAAAACTAAAGACCCTCACAAAAAACATTATTTCAGCTCAGTCTGAAAAACCTAAAGGTAAATAAAGTCTACGGGTAACTTTTTTTTCTTCCTTTAATGCCTGCCCCCCCCCCCCACCACACACACATTTTCAAATTTTCAGAAATGCAATGTCTGGGATTTAGTTTGTTTTTTAATAATTGCACTGAATGTTAATAAAAGCTCATCTCAGGGAGAGGTGATTGCTATTCCTTTGTGTTCAAATGCTTTTAAAGGTTGCACACAAGATTCATTCATGTAACTGATTCATGCTTTTTTAGGCCAAAATGTCTGATCTTGATGGTTTAGAGCTCAGGAGCCAAAGCGGTCTGTTTCCTGTATTGCACAGGCCATCACTGGGGCCATCCCAGACGTTGTCTCTGTGAAGAAAGTGTGCACATTCTGTAATAGTACTTTGTCATTGTTCAGTTGGTACCTTGATGTAAAGTTTTGTAAACCTGTCACTGTTTTCTTATATTTAACATTTTCCATTAAATGTTGGAAATCACATTGCCACACTGTCATTGTTGACTCTTCCTAAGAAAAGAAAAAAATTGATAAGTTTGATATTTAACTTTAACTTTAAAAATGCCCTTCACCTTGTTTCTATATTAGGGCGACAGGTTAAACTGGCTTACATACATAGTGTGGCAAAACCACCGAGAAATGTTCGTCGGCAGCAAGAGATCTATGGGACAGCTGGACCTATTGTACAGCTTCATCCTATTGAAAAGGGCAAGTAAGTACACTGTTAGTGCACTGTGATTTGAGATTGGATGGCTTCATGCTGGCTATGTCAGTAAATGAATGTTACTAGCAAAACCTTTGTATGAAAGAATGCAGCTAAACTGTAACTATCGTGTTTTTTTTTTTTTAGTATTTCAACTATTGGAAATATAAACTTACATTTTAGGAATTATTTGTCTGCAGTGTGCCCCAACTTCATCCCTTCTCTGCCCTTCTTTTTTTGATGGGGTGACCAAAATTGCACACAGTATTCAAAGTATAGATGTACCATGCATTTATATAGAGGCAATATATTTCCTGTCGATCCTTTTTCTAATGGTTTCTAACATTAACTTTTATTGACTTCTGCACATTGAGCAGATGTTTTCAGAGAACTGTGTGCAATGACTAAGATCTTTCATGAGTGGTAACAGCTAATTTAGACCCCATCATTTTATATGTGTAACCCTTCTGCCCCTCTGAGTTGGCAGCAACAAGGGCTGGGTTCAGTATCTAGGGGTTCAGTTTCAATAGCGCAATGCAAAACCGGCTTGAGCCCCCCACCCAGTGACCTGGGACATACCACCTCCCCAGGCACCTCTAGGAGGCAATACTTCCCCTCTCGCAAGCACAGAGTCTGAGTGTAGCAAAAGCCTTTTAATAAAGGAGGCATTATGTTGGGGAAACACCACAAACAGGATTCATAACACAAACCATGAGCAAAAGACCCACCTCCAAGTAAGTTTGGGCAGTGTCCTTTTCCCCTCAGGGTCTTAAGTCCAATCACCCCAAAGTCTCTGTCCCTGGTTAGTGCCGCCCCAGAGTTCAAAAGTTTATCTGCAGAGTTTTACACCCCCCCCCAGCCTGGGG